TCCTGTGTCTATTTTACACTCCCCATGTTTATAGGTCCTTGTGTCTATTTTACCCTCCCCGTGTTTATAGGTCCCTGTGTCTATTTTACCCTCCCCATGTTTATAGGTTCCTGTGTCTATTTTACCCTCCCCATGTTTATAGATTCCTGTGTCTATTTTACCCTCCCCGTGTTTATAGGTCCCTGTGTTTATTTTACCATCCCCGTGTTTATAGGTTCCTATGTCTATCTTACTCTCCCCGTGTTTATAGGTTCCCTGTGTCTATTTTACCCTCCCTATGTTTATAGGTCCCTGTGTCTATTTTACCCTCCCCGTGTTTATAGGTCCCTGTGTCTATTTTACCCTCCCCGTGTGACTATTTTCTTTGCCTATTCGCTATCAGTTTTGCCAGCGATACAGCAGACATGCTAATTTATGTAAGATAATCTGCCAGTAGTTACGTTTAAAATTTATCGTGTTTATTGGTTTAGCTCTACAGAACAAAAGATAGTAGATTCAAGTTTATAGCAGCACTTTCGAACAAACAAACGATAATAGATGATAATCCATAGCCGCATTTTCGAATTAATTACCCGGCGTTAAAAACAAGCGTAATCGCGATGTCTGTTGAAGATAATACACTACTACACGTGCGCACTGCTGCCAATCTAGATACCGTATCGTTGCTAAAGGTCACTCAGTATACACGTTTCGGTATTGTTCGCATAATCATCATACGAATAATGCCCCCCTAAACTTCTCGAACATTGTGTTCCTTTGTCATGTGATGACTCTCATTTCAATGAAGATTTCATAGTTAACATCTGATTCACCCGACATACATGTACCTAGTTTGCCTTACTCCTTGTCTAAACCTAGATTAAAGAGAAAAGGTAGCGAAACACCACCTTGCCTGAGCTTAGAAATGAGACAATACATTTATTTATCTTAATATTTTTTTTCGTATTGTGAATTAGTGAGGTCCGTCTTCACAGAGATACTACGGTAGTCAGCTTTGCACGGCGCGTGCGAACACACAGTGACGATCAATGTCGGAATGCGGTGATTATGTTTAAATATTTATCTTCGATAAAACTGTAAGTTCAATTCATACACACAGATAAACCGCCAGAGAGGCGTGTTTGTTTTTAACCTCAATTGGAAAGGTCTGCTCAGTCTGTCATTAAACAGTATTTACTCATACGTAACTTTTTAAGAATTCTATAATTAAAAAAGGTCTTTCTTAGACTTCATTCCAAAATGGTTCATAGTAGATTTGAAGTGAGACTTAGGTTAGACCGGAACGGCACTGTTAATTGATAACATTATATAACGTAGTGTTTATAAATAGTCATTAAAACGAAGTTGACAATGCTTGGATCGTTTTGATTGGAGCCGTGGTCTGGGTTTTGGATGAATGACAAGGACTTAAAAGAAAGTTTACTTAAAGGAATGATACGGTTGTCTGACAGTACCGACACACGTCCCGTGTTAATTTCACGATGTGTTTAAAGCTGACAGGTCACTTTTAATTACTACATGTACATTTAATCTATCTTTTGTTTGCTTTATCTGTTAGCGAATTAAGATTTATAGTTTAAGTTTGGTTTATTGTTTGTTTATCGTAATTAACCTGAAAACAAAATTAATTTGTGTCTTGAAATAAATAATTTGACAGTAAAGAGGAAAAAGAATAGAGAGCTTACCTTGGCTGAGTATGCTGAGCTTATTTATAAAACTATTTTTGGTTGATAATAATTTTTGTAAAGTAAGATATTTATCAACTTTTATTCATTACTCAGTTGTCCGTATGGAAACGAGACAGATGTCTGTCTGACGGACGAATCCGGACATATCCGGTCTTGTCCACAGGAATCTTGGGAACACAACATGTATGACTTTTCTGACGGTGTGTGTTGTAACCAAACAATAGAGAAAGGTGGTTGTTGGGAATCAACGGACTGCATTGTGAATATTAATAGGACATTGGGAGAGGGACTTCACTTGTTAGATGGACCACATATGTTTTGAAGGATGGTAAATGTAGGGCAATATCTTATGACATCATCTTGATAAAATGGCGACGATAGGGCATTTCCGGTTTCCGCTCGTGGACAATTATATTATAGTAACATTCCTTTGGCCGATGTAGTATTTTCGTTTCTGTAGAGTACACAATCTTTACGCCGAGCTTAATTATCAGAGGGGGAATATTGGTATAACAGTCCTTAGGAGGTATACCACACGTAATTTATAGAGTTAAGAGGACGCACTGGAGGAATGTGGACAGACGTTTCATAGTTCCCAGCTGATTCATAAATCTTGAAACGTTTCTCTACAATTAAATAGGTACGTGTTCCATATATGTTTTATCTTATCTGTATAAAATACCGATGTTGGCAGTCAACTCATAAAATACTTCCAGTATATATCATATCTATAACCTCTGACCTTTCTACACGGATATATAACCGGTAATTAAAAAAAACAAGCACCTGTTAGTCATTAGAAGAACAATATCATATTAGAAAAATAAGGAGACAATGTTGATATTCTAATAGATTTAATAATAATATTCATATCTTAACATCCGAGAAATTTAATAAACGTTTTGAAAACAAAACGCTTTTTCTGCAGATGATGTATACTTTTGACTGAAATCAGATTATGTCAAATATGCTGATTCATAACAACTAAAAATATAAACGGATGAACGAATTTTGATGAAATGTGGAATATTCTTTATCAGTAGAGTCGAGGTTCATTTGGTCCTGTTTAACCATCGCTTTCAAAATCCGAAGAATCTCGTCTTCGTTCGTCTTTATACTACCAAGATGATGAAACGAACTGCTTCATACAAATTTATAAAATATCAAGTTCCTATGATAAAGCCAGGATATTATCCCGGAAAATAACATTATGTTGGGTAATACTGGTAAGCCATACAAACTGTCTTACCTATTACATCCCGGATTTTTTTAGATGCACGTTTTTGCTGTTTAGAATTTACGTTCCAGACGACATGGACATAATTCATTCACATAGTGCCGACATTCTATAATGTATAACCAGGCACTCGATGAGATACAACCCAGTAACTGGTGTATGCTGGGGAATCACGTATTAAGCTCGGTCAGCTTAAATCTTGTTAAAATATCGTCAGATCAGATTTTTTCTTTAACAATGAACAAAACGAAAAACCAAAAAACAAAAATTTAAACAAATCTTTAGACAAAATAGTTGTCGTCATATTAACACATAAGTGACCGAAATTTTCTGTTGGTGTTTTTAACTTAATATGTATATTAAGTAGTACTATTAAGCTGACCTATTAAATATCTGTGTATATCTGTGGCCTGATATTTTCGTCATTACGAGTGACCACACCCTAAAACAAACCAAGTAGACGGAGTTTATAATCTACTCGGGTCATTAAAGTGTTTGTTTGTCAAATATTCACAAAATGTGACGATCTCTTGTCTACATTCACATAGATGTTAGCCTGGTGAGACGTGACATTAACTAGAAATATCAGGATTGAAAGGTTTAGCTTTGCTATAGACAGGGTATCAATGCGTTACAAAAATACTTCATTATAAGTCGAATGCAATATTTGAATTATTTACCATCTAATTTGTGGCAGGAATACTGTAATTGTATTGCCCGCTCTTTCAGATTGCCCGCACAAGTCAAAATAATTGTTTTACGGATTAAACCCTGCAGATAACACGCTTCTGTACTTTGCCTTTTTCATTAGATTTTTCTGATGAAACCGATTTCATTTCCATCTGTACTCTCATAGGTTTCTTTAAAGAAAAACTGTTATAAGTAAGAGTTCCCTTATACTGAGCGGGAAATTGTGTGTATCTATATAAATTGCAGTACAAAAGAGTTCCCTAAGACTGCGCGGGAATAAGTATGTATAAATAGATCAGGTAGTACAAAAGAGTTCCGTAAGACTGCGCGGGAATAAGTATGTATTGATAGATCAGGTAGTACAAAAGAGTTCCCTAAGACTGCGTGGGAGAAGGTACTGCATGTATCGACAGAAAGCTGAGCGGAAGAATGTTGGACTGGATGGCCTACCGTAGTTTTTCTGCTCTCCGCTAGACTTCTCTTCGAAAATACAACGACCGGGCTATCAATTCTGTCATTTTGATTGGCTGTCATTTATTTCTAACTATGGAGCATACCTTTCCAAGATGGCGAAGTTTGGGCTTTTCATGGGAAAACCCCACAAATGTCTGTATTCAATCATCGCTACAATTTAGGCATTTTTACAGGAATGTACAATAGTACAAGTGTGTTTGTGGGAACATATCCACTTACTGTTGTTTGTATACTAATTCTTCAAATCGAATGTGATTTTTTTTCAAGCAGTCATAAGTCATTTGAAATGGTATTTATTAGTAAAAACTCTTTAATTTCACAGAAAATGTTTTCAAATGATTTTCAATATACGGCGATAACTCACTAATTATTGCCGACGCTTCTGAATCACGTTGTCATTGTAAACAAGAGGGAATTCCGAGGCTCAAATCCAACCAAAAATTCGTTTACTGAATTAATCAATCGACGTTTTGTTAAAAAATTGACTAGAATGGTGGTTATGACCTGTTTTAGTTTCAATGGGCGCAGTCTTGTTTGTAGTGGTTAATTCTGACTGTTAAGGAACGACAATTCTGGTAGAGATTGATGGCGGCCCTGACCTATCTTGGTTTCAACTTGCGCAGTCTAGCGTATAGAAGATTTTAGTAAGGCAGGTAATCCAGCCTAGGAAGAATTATGTAGTGATACAAAAAGTGTTCCCAAAGACTGCTCTCCATTTAGTGACTGATTCGATCCTAGTGTTTGCTTTCATTTTCCTAACCTGATTGCATTTTCCTACGCATGCTCACTGTGAAATACAGTGTAATGCTCTCTATCTACCGTCTGTCTGTATGTCTGTTTGTCTGTCTTTCTCGTTCTCCCTCGTGTTAGATTTTAACTTTGTAACATGTGGTTTCTCTTTATCATTTCAGGCGGGTGTAGCAACGAGAACGACCACCAAATGTTACGCGCCATGTGCAAATCCAGTTCCAGTTCCGGGTCAATGCTGTCCCGTATGTCGAGGTAACGAAATCATTATTCGATAACATTCTGTGATATTTCCATCTTTACATTAGATTTACATAATTGAACCAATTCCTCAGTCTGATTTCTTTGATGTTCAATTAATACAACAAACGCATTCGTTAAATTACATGTATAAGCCCTGATATTTTACCGGAAGTGACATTATTAAGAATTAGTAAAGCTCAACTATTTAGTATCTGAAAATGTAAACCGATTATTTAAGACAATTGCGTTTTTACGGATAGTGGTCGAGTTACATTTAATTATATATAGATTCAAGTTTGTAGGTATACATGTATTTCTTACAAGTAGGACAATCTACAAGTTCTTGTTAATTACTGTATCGAGAAAGTATATACGTTTATACAAGGTGTAGTCACGTGGTATATAAATAAATGTATACTTAATTCTTAATCATGTTAACACATTGAAATGTTTCCCCAGTTTTGTAAACACTTCTTTGGTGGTTTCGACATTTCTTCACGGACACCGCTAAATGGACGCTTTATATAGTTATTAAGGATCCCTTATGTTATAAAGTTTAAAAAGTTGTCACGACAAATATGGATATCAAAACGAAAGAAAAACGTCAATATTACACACAAAAATATGAGCTCGCTAATGCTTTAACAGTGAACAGAGGAATTACTTTGTAGAAATATCACGATGTCTTGAGAAAACACGCTCCATGTGTTAAGGTAAATTACTTGAAATAACGTTCAGTCACCCACTGTTATAAATCAAGACAAATATTTGCGACAGAAAATTGTTAGTTGTACGCATTCTGCTTTGTAAACAAATTTACCTCTTTTGTAAATATTTGTAAATACGTCCTTAATCTTCCTAATCTTAGTTTTCTTCGCCAGAACACGATTTTTTTTACTGCAAGATAAATCGCACCAACTAATTTTACAACACTTACAAAATTGTCGTCATTTGTAAATAGCATAATTTTTCACTCAACGATGTAATTTATATAATACAACGACTTTTACGAGCTTGAATAATTTGTCTGGAATATTCAACATTATTTCTTACTGTAATTTTATAAACGTGGTGTGACATTCTGTCATATAGACCTTGTAATGAGCCACATTATTTAAATATAAACATAGTTCAAGGATTTGTCTCACAATGCAAGAACGTGTACAGATTATGTGTAATATGAAAAGGAACAGCATGTAAGTGAAAGACTATAAAATAGACAACGATTAACATTTCGGATATAAGAACGAAATTAAGTTTTCGGATAATACGGATATAAAAATATGTGTTTTTTATAATAGAAGAGCATTATCGGGTATAGGAAAGATGACAAATAAATTACTCTGTAGAATTATATATTTTCGTTGGGCTCAAATTTTATGGTTTTACAAAATTGAAGTTTTCACTGTCACGTGATTTCGTGGATATATCTTACTCACTCAGTTTACTGGTTGTAATATTCATGTCTATTTTATATATGTTTATCATTTCGTTGACTTACACATCGTGAATAAAGAATAAGCACGAATTCTACGAAAATAAAAAAAATAAAAAGACAAAAATAAAACACCACGATAATGAATGCTTTTGCAGTAAGCTAAATATATTTAATTGAATAAACCTTTTTTCCGCTTCATGTAATCCGTCGTCATTTTTTTCGAAGATTTTGTTAAATCCTCGAAATTTTAGTCCTTTAAAAAACAACTTTGTTACCGTACGTAATAAGTGAAACATCGATGAACCAGAAGACGCTTTTCCTTTCTAAACTTTCAAGAAACTCCATATGAAACTTGTGTTTACATTTCACTTTGTTTATTGATATTGGTGTATTCAGATACAGCTATGTGATGTAGCATCACTGACGAGTCCTAGAAGGACGAACAGCTGTGTGATGTAGCATCACTGACGAGTCCTAGAAGGACGAAACAGCTGTGTGATGTAGCATCACTGACGAGTCCTAGAAGGACGAAACAGCTGTGTGATGTAGCATCACTGACGAGTCCTAGAAGGACGAAACAGCTGTGTGATGTAGCATAAATTACGAGTTCTAGAAAGATAAAACAGTTGTATAATTTATTCATTATTTGACTATACTATATCAAATTCTATGTTTGTATAGAAAGACGTCTTTTGTACAACCTTCTCATATTGAATTCATGTTTTTAACTTAAATAGAATTGTGAAAAACGTAAAAAAGAAAATGAAATAGGTTGCTTTGTACCACACGTGAATGGATCGGAACATATTCCTTTAATATACTTTGTTCTATATTTAGGAACCTTCACGGCCATCCTTGTGTATCGTAATTATTCATCGTTATTCATTGTTTGTAAATTGGTCACCGGATCAGGAACGAGCATTTTATATAGATTTTAGTATATATGAATATGAGTCTATTGTGATTTCAACAGTTTCAATAAAACGCTTGGTTTTTGATGATCTCACTTATAAAAGTCTATTTACCAAGCGTTTTCATGACCGGTTTAGTGTTTCATCTTGTCTGTCAAACTCTTTGAAAATGATTGATGTTCTATCTCATCAAAACGCCTAAATGATTGATTTTGTGCAAATATAAATTGATTTCGTTTTCTTTAGAGATTTTATTGGAGTATTTAAGTGGTATGTCGAGAGCAGAAAGTAAGGGTCCGATATAAATTGTAATTCAGAGTAAACATTATTACAAAAACGCCTGTTAAACAAATAAACCATAGCAAATGTGTGTCTGTAAGTGAGGGATGGATTGTTCCATTCGGGATGTAGGTGCGGTAACATTGTAGGGATTATCGATGTTCAAATACTTCATACGGGATTTAGGGACAATGAAGAGTCAGAAGTGAACAAAAGCAATGACTAGATCGAGAAAGAAAAGAAACCTCTATGTATGAATTAGTCAATTGGCACTCAAATACAAATCACTATTGATGAAAATTTGAGAACGTGGCATTACATAATTGCGTTGACCAGTGTTTACATGGCAGGTGTCGTCAATGCAGCTAAGACACTTACCCTTCCGGGACACCTGGTCTTATTCTCCTTGTACTTTCTCAGAGGCCTCCGTGTAAATCTTTCTTTATTCATCTCTTGATTTAGTATTGACATGCACACATAAATATTCATACATGTACATGCTTACACATAATAAACACAGTTAATATAATAAATCATGCAAAAACCATACTTGCATATCACAGAACATAATAAGCATTGAAGTGAACGTGAGTACAAAGGAGTAGAAACATAAAAAAAACTAGAGGAAACGAGAGATGAGAAGACGACAATGATATTAGATGTGTATGTGCGTGTGTGTGCGGGGGTGGGGGTGGGGGGGTAACTGAACTGACCCAACATTTATTTGGAAACAATAACCCCTAGATAATTTGGTACTAATTGAAAAATAAAAATATTCTGTATCATTTAATATGAAATGCCGTATTTATTAAATATGGAGGCGAAATATTCTAGATACAGATACCCATAGTGGAAGTATATGTATATTGTTCATAGTTTGCCTCTGAGAAATACGATCACTTTAGCACACAACTAGCACGTTTTTGTCCATAAACCTAACACCATGTTTCTCCCTCAGTCACACGTGAACCCATCACGCCGAATCATTATCTCTTTGTCGATAATTTCTTCAGACAATCAATTGTAAGGTGTAGGACGCTAAATGTTACTATACTACTCTATAATGAGATGATGATCAATTTTTCAAGAGGATGGCAATAAAAATCCTCTCACATGTTATTTTGACAGCTTCGACTGGCGAACGCGTTATTACGTGTAAATGTTATTTATGAACTACTCTGTAGCGGTAATGGGGCTCTAGAAGATATAAACATTTTTTGGATATCCATAATTTTTTTATGTACCGAGCGAATTATCCACTCCGCCATAATTAAACACAGAATAAGAGGTACTCATATCTTCACCATGTCAATCTGTTACATTACTTTCGAATTATCAATGTTTCATAATTGAATGAAATTAATCTGTTCTGTTTGTGTATTGAGAACCCCTGACAGAATAGAATGTGATAGAATCGCCATATTGGCGTGAATATATTTTACTGATTTGTCATCGGAGCTTTTTTTAATTAAACGGAACGAAATATGTGTAACCGGTGCAATCAGCACGAAATAAACAAACATGAAACATTATCCGTGGTATGCAATAGCAGTACACCAGTCATAAAAGTCAGAATCTTACGAAAGCTATTTGTAAAGAAACAATTTTTGCGTGAACTTGTTAATTGTCTAGTTAATGTCATTGATATTCTTCACTTTCTGAAAGAAGCGAATTCAGTAAGCGGCGCTGCGATATGTCACTGTTATCAGTGTGTACGCGCAGCTTTCCACACAGAGGAGTAAATTAATAACGGATATCGGTTACATTGACCTGTGGTATGATATTTCATTTTCACAAATTGAAATAAATGTACGGTCTGTTGTATCACATTATATTGTGTATACAGATATATCAACAACAAGATAAGTGGCTTTATGAAGTTATATACTATAAAATCACACAATTTGAGACTCTCACATTTTAGCGAATAACCAGTTTTTGTCATTGATGTATTTGCAAACTAGCAATAATTTCCATATGAACAGCAAACAGAAACAGCAATTTACGTCATCATATTTTAGCGCAGTACTCTCAGCGCGAAAAGCGCTAAAAGTAGATACCAAAGCACGGACGTTAAAGAAAATAGATCCAAAGTTCCCCTTTTTAGTAATAATGACTACTGTAAACGCGAACATTTACGCAAGGGGGAATTTACAATAATCTTGCGAAGGTTGTTAGACCGCGCAAACATTCCCCACGCGTAATATTTTGTGATGTGAATTAATTTCATAGACGAAGCAAACAGAAAATTGATCGCGAAAATAACCCCCAAGCGTATAGTTTACCAATAGAAATCGCAAAATTAACTCCCCGCAAAAAGTTCCACGGTTACAGTATATAGATTCTAAAACCAAATTAAACGATACACGGCTGCTGGGAATTTGTAATTATCTCTTGTGAAGTCTCTCTATTCCTTTCCACCATAAGTAAAGTTTAAACCAAATAGGTAAAAAAATTGTGTAGGTCATCATCGACACATTAAAATGGGGAAAAAATCTTTCTCTCGAACTTTGTAAAAGTACAACGGAACTAGGTCAGTTTACTTACACTTCCTTGTGTTTCACTTTCTCTCATATAACATGATGTATCATTACTCGGTGTGTATTGGTATTTTTCACCAATTGAAATATCTGTCTAAGTTGGGAACCGACACTTTTTCACCTGGATTCTACATAAATGTCCTTATAACTGCTGCCACTAGCTGTGTTTTGTATGTGTAAGATAGGCATTTACATCGTTAGATTAGATTTAGAAACATCAATGTTGATAGATATGTAATTATTATACCTTTTGAACCGATATCGTCTTACCTGTTAAATATATCACAGATCAAAGAACTCAAACTTCCGTAAATATGCATTTATCTATTATATTGTCAACTAAATGTGTATCCGTTTTGTGGTATGATGTTTATTGAATTGCGGTCCATTTCACGCTGTGATAGACGGTTCATACCGTATGCTTTTCATTTCTAGGTTGTCAGTACGACGGGAAAACTTATAATGAAGGTGACGTGTTTCCACTCTCAACAGATCTGTGTACAAAGTGTTCTTGTACGGTATGTATCAAACGAAGTCAAGGGTTGATTTTTTCCATCAATATCCCTGAATGGTTAAATTAATCTAGTAAGATATATTTTATTTGTTGATGGATCTTGTCTGGACATAGTTGACAAGTTTATGGTATTTCTGGTGATTTAATATTTTTTTTATTGTTTCAATTGCTTCAACATGGAAGATTTAATTGCAATTAATGATAAATTGTAGGTGGAATTAAGAATCTGAAGTATGTGTTCAATAATTAGATTTAGATATAAGTATATTCCAATATTTTGAGAGTAAGAAAACTCAACACAGACCTGAACAAAAAAAATTTCACTTGTCCCAATTTATTAAGGAAGTTCAATTAACATTAAACTGTAGGTAAAATCCGGAATTTTAAGTGACCGTTGGGATGGTTCTACATAGTTTTCCCCCGGAATATGCACAATTAGTTAACAAACTTCTTTCAATTGTCTACTTGCATATGTTGCAATACTTATTGAAAACAAACTAATATACGGTTGCTTAACCAGACTTAGTGACGATAATACTTGTATATCTGTTTTAAACAAATGTTGACGCAGCCGCCGTCGTCGGAAAAGAAATGCCGATGTCTTCGCGAGTTCGTCACACGAGATACCAAATAAGAGCAAAGAGAAAATAAATCAATTGTCAAATATAGACTTCTATTAGTTTACACACAGGAAAAAATATGAACATTTATGTCTGTCAAATATAATTTGCCTCAGAAAATTAAAATGACAGTTTAAATACCTGTCTGCTAAATAGCCCCCTACACTTAACAAATATTAAAGAAAATTACGTATTTCTTTTACCTGGATCCTGATCTCGCCCACGCACCTGTACCTGGACAATCTGTCTGTCTGTAAGGATATTACAGCTTTCATCACATAGAACCATCAATATCATGGCTATTTTATAATAAAATATGATACAGATGAGTGATTAGGTAGAAAGAATAATCGTATAGATTATATTCCAAATTTAGCGTGAGAAAGTTAATTGGAATATAATAAGATAATCGTTTTGAAATATGAATTATTTTTCATCAACAGTTGGCATTGTGATAAATGAGTTTAGACAAAAACTCAGTTGTTTTATTTTCATTGTTTATGATTTACGTAAAGTGTGTATTTTGTTGTAAGCAGACAGGTTCTTTATTTCTTGATTGCAAGTCGCACAGAAATGAACTGTTATAATTAATCAGCTACTGTCTGTTGTAGAAACCATTTAAATAAATATCAAAAGTATCGTTACCAGTGCTACAAAGTATTTACGTATTGTCTAATGTCAACAGAATGTCAGCTTAGTAACCTACAGCCTTTTTGCAAGATGACAATCAACTGCAAAGAGTATACGTACATTTTTCACATTCTTCATCTTTAATTTTCATTACCGACCTACTCACTACGAGAAACAAATCATCATTATCTACTTCCAACGAATTCGAAGTCAATCGGGAAAGCAAATATTGAATTCCATTTAATTAAAAAATCTGAAGTTCAAGGCATTTCTTAATTGAGGGCCTAAGCGTCACTGACGAGTCCTGAAAGGACGATACCGCTGTATGATGTAGCGTCACTGACGAGTCCTAGAAGGACGAAACAGCTGTATGATGCAGCATCACTGACGAGTCCTAAAAAGGACGATACCGCTGTATGATGTAGTATCACTGACAAGTCCTAGTAGGACGAAACAGCTGTATGATGCAGCGTCACTGACGAGTCTTAAAACAGGACGATACCGCTGTATGATGTAGCGTCACTGACGAGTCCTAGAAGGACGAAACAGGTGTATGATATATCATCACTGACGAGTCCTGAAAAAGGACGATACCGCTGTATGATGTAGCGTCACTGACGAGTCCTAAAAAAGGACGATACCGATGTATGATGTAGCGTCACTGACGAGTCCTAAAAAAGGACGATACCGATGTATGATGTAGCGTCACTGACGAGTCCTAAAAAGGACGATACCGCTGTATGATGCAGCATCACTGACGATTCCTAGAAGGACGAAACAGCTGTATTATACAGCATCACTGATGAGTCCTATAGAAGAAAAAGACTGTTGTATGATAAAGCTCATTCGAAGAAAGTATCGTAAATATGTAAGGTAGAATTTGTCAGTTATTGGTGACTTACCTATGAAACAATAGCAGTTCTACACAATACCTATATGAAACAATACTTAGTGCTGTTCTATCGTAAAACTAATCCAGGTTTTAGCAATTTATAATTACGTTGAATGAAGATAATTAACTAATTACATTCTCGGTGGATACGTCAGGAGAGTTATTAACCTTTTTTCCAAGTATTTCTCTCATGACATTTTTGGTCTGTCGTCCGAACCGCGGGGGTCTGTTTTGTTAATAACAAAATAGGTATTGAAATCGGAAAGTGAGCTCCCAGGGGTATTTGATTTATGCTAGGGTTTGTTTGTAGTGTGACAAAATTGGTTAAACCTTTTTAAACTCCAGTTGTAACCAGATCGCTAATCTAACCCTATATCTATCATTTCTTTGCCAGTACGTCAGTAGTTTTTATTCTCTCCTATTACGAGGACAGCCTTGTTATTTGATATACACAACTAGAACTTGGGGCCATCCCAAGGTGAATTTATATGTCATAGTATTTGCTTTTTCCAGATTTGTATTTAACAGGATTTTTTTTTCATTCGGCTACATATCTTTCAAATCAATGTCAATCTTTGACACATTTGAAATGAAAACAAAAATCGTTTGATAAATGTTTAAGGTCGAAACCCATGAATCCCTTTTCAAAATTCGTTTTAAAATTTGAGAAGCTCCTTATCTTAAATGACTTTCATTTTTCATTTTTGAGATATCAGATTTTGGAATATTAAATATTTATCCATTGCAGTGGATTTTGCGACCAGAGGGGTTTTCAAAATTTACAAGGCAAATGTAACCGATAAATCAGCAGACTCTTATCTTTTTTTAATACTACCTCTTATTCATTTTGCACCTTTCAAGAATCTTAATGTTAATTCTTTTAACAGAACTATGGTTTTGTCTACATGTCGATAGTGTATTACGTTCTTTGTTAATTTTGTGATATTGTCATGGTGAGCTCATTATATAATTAGTTTTTTTTAATTATCGGTTATTTTTACATTTATTTTCTTTTATGATATTAAAAAAAGTCCTTTGTCCCATTGTGTTTACCTCTAATCTTCTCTTCCACTGGGAATAATTTGGTCGGTCAGATTTGACTTGTCCATAAATTCAATAATTTTAAATCTCTGTCATCAATTCTTTGCTTTATTATTCCAGAATGGAACAGTTTCCTGCGAGAAAGAGACATGTCCAGTTTTAAATTGTCCTAAAACCGTGATATGGCAGCCTCCTGGTTCCTGCTGTAAAGTGTGTAAAGGTCAGTAACGATAATTTCATATTACAAAGCGAAGGTCAATAAACCACTCCAAAACACTAGAACATATATGTTATTTTATACTATCTTTAATAGTTAGCAACAGCGGGTTTTTCATGCAAGAAAAGACAAGCTTATTATTTTTTACAAAGATGGAATAAGTTGATCCAGTTTCATTTTAAAACAAACTACTTATACGGATTCAACGCAGTTTAGCATACATCTGTTTCGGCCTTTGTCAATTGTGCAAAAAATGATGGATTAAGTTTGATTTTTAGGTGAAATATAAGTTATTATGTATCTAGGATGAAAACTGACGAACAAAAAACAATTTGGACTATATTTCACGTTTGCATATCCAACAGAACAAGCAATGATATTTCAATTGCTTCTGTACCGATAGTATGAGACACAAGAGTTAAACAAGGATTTCTTCAACAACAAATTCTGCAAAAACGAAGGCATTTTTTTTTCATGATTTTGCGTGGAAGTCATTTAAAGCATTACATTCAATACCATACTTGACTTTGTAAAATTCAAACCATTATATAATCGCGCTATATGTTACCTTGATGTAACAGAATTAGAATAGTTTCAACACAATGATTTCAATTTGGAAAAACTGTTTGGTCATTAAATGTGCGAATAGTCTCTGCCACATTCATGTCTTGACATCGGAAGTAACGAGAATATAAATAAAAAAAGTATGTTAGCTCGGCATATGTCCATACACAGATTAGAACGTTGGCAACCATTATTTGTGGTCGTGGCACTTCGACAAGAAGTCTTTGGGTAATACTACGGTCGTCATCATTACCTCATTGTAGAATATTCTATTTCCTAGTGTGATGTGGAGTTGGACGTGTTTGATGTTTGTTATTATGCCTAGAAGTTCTGTTGCTGACCTTGTTCTCATTTCGGAACGTGACATTACTTACTTGGAATTCACAAACCAGGTTCGCCGATAGAGCAATTGCTTACTCTTCCGGATTACATAGTCTTCTTCTCCTTGTACTTTTCCAGGAGTTGGAGTCTCTGTGTAAATCTTTCTTTTGCTCATATTAGTCACTTGTTTTTGCAAACTAGAAGGTAAATTGTTAGAGGCACGATAACAAGATGTAAAATGTTTAATACGTCAAGGCGATGCCGAGATTGTCAGGTACTGAAATACAGAGGGTCGACCAACTTTATATCAGTAAAGGCGAAGCCGAGATTGTCAGGTATTGAAATAGAGTGTCGACCAACTTTATATCAGTAAAGGCGAAGCCGAGATTGTCAGGCACTGAAATATAGATGATCGGTCAAGTTTATAGGAGGCAAGGCGAATGCGGGACTGTCGGCTACTGAAAATAGAGAATCACTGATATTTATTTAGGGGCTAGGCGAAGCAAGGCGTGCAAGAATAGAAATTAATCAAATAACGGCTCTCTTAAGTAACGGTCACAACGTCATGATAGTGAATGGTACATGAAGGGAAGTTAATTACTGTAAATGTAAAGGTATAAATGGGCTCAAATTAATCAAATTATCCATACATATTAGCTTTTGTTCTACATTCATTAAAATCATTTCATCTGAATAGCATGATTCAAAATGAATTACACGATAGCGTTTTATATGTGATGACATTCAAAATATTGTTTTCGAGAAACTTGTTGAAATTTCATCTGAAAAGTGTATCAAGTATGAATCTGATAAAAGATTTCGAAATAAGTTTTATCATTATTCGAGAAATCTTGACTTTAGGCACTAAGACATACTAAGTCTTATCTTAATACGCGCATCCAAAAATGAAAAAAAAAATCTTTCGAAATATCAAACCATGTCTTGTCAATTTATGGCCAACGTGGAGAGCAGTTGATGGATAGGAGTAGTGATAACGAGTAAGTTTGTACTTAAGTTTTTATACAACACCGATGCATCTCTTAAACGTGCAAATGCACGTCCCGTGGTGTTCCTCTGGAACGTTCTGACCTATATTTACTGCGAAAAATAATGATTATGAATAGCATTTTATCTAAAATATCTCCAAGCTTAAGTTGATAACAGATTTGTATTACAATGAAAATGCATGTGTTTTTCATACTTCGCCGGACATATTTACACTTGAACTTGGTTAGAATTTGTTACGGAAAACCTGTTCTAAAAACGCATTATACGATTATATACAGCATTAAAAACAATTTTTCTACAGAAGCCTGTTAGCATCAAGCTATAAGCTATACGTTGATAAACCACAGATAAAATCGTTAGGGTTGAAGTAGTTGCCAATCCTTCTGTAACATATAGTCTTATTCAGAGGTAACCATGTACATCTTTCCTTTGTTCTGTTTGTTACTGATTTTGAGTTTGTATATAAATTCCATTGACACATCGGTATTTCCTGTTTTTAGGGTTTTTAAAGAGCTTATGGGGTTAATATGCCCACGTGATCATTTTAAGAATCCATTTTGTTATTTAATACGAAGGAGTGTTGGCGACCAATACCTTCAGCTGATTTGACAGGAAATGTGTAGAATAATGAGTGGTACGGCAAATGGAACCAGGGTATTCATCAGTGGTTGCCTTCATGTCAACATTGGTGCTAGACATTATCAATATGTATAGACATTTGTGATCTTTCTACTGTGCATTTTATCAATAAACAAGAAAATACCAACATGTCAACATAATCATAATCCAAACTCTAATTCAATATGAACAAAAGAAAGTGTTCTGCTGAGACTCCTGAAAAAGTACAATGATAATAAGACCAGGTGTTTCGGAAGAGAAAGCTTCTTCTGCTTTATCGACGACACCTGCCAAGTAAACCTTGGTCAATCCAAGTGAGCAATGTCATGTTCCCAAATGAGAACAAGTATACAACAAAGGAACCAACGGGTAAACTAACGAGCATCACATACGTGCAGCTTGATATCTCACAAAGAAATAGAATATTGCTCAATGACACCACTATGACGACCGTAAAACTTCCCCATAAATATCAGAAACCTATCGATTGTTTTTTCACGGGAATATTTTTCTATGGGTTTCCGTAATGCTTCCTATTTAACACGGGTTCAATGCTGGTAAAGTTACCATGGCGGAGTAATGAAACAGCTAGAGTGTAATATACTTGACCTTGCGCAACATGTTTCTCAAACGCGTCTTCCGCGATTGCAAATAAATCCAAGATGATTTAAAAAGATATTTTTAATTCACTGATGAACAGATTACATAAAATGGTAGGGCAATTAAGGTGCATATCTAAACATTATTTTGATATTTGATATCCTTTAAAGATTTTATATATTACTACTTTTTTAACAAACTGGAAAAATATTTTTAAAAAATCAAGTTTTTTTATTTCTTATTTGCAAATGTCCGTGTCATATGAAATATCATAATAAGTTTTAACCGCCTCCTAGGTTTCAGGATTTAGGCCCTTAGCATCATTGTCGAATCTTAGAAGGACGAAACTGTTGTATGGTGCAGCTTATTTCATCATGTAGCGCTACTTGTATTAAAATATGTTAATCAATCGCGTATGCCTATTAAATTGAGTGCCCTATTTACTTTAGCAATGTTCTCAGAAGAATAAAAATTGGCTTCCGAGAATGTGTCATTTACAGTTAGAAAGGATTAAATCGGGCAAATAACCGGGAACTTGTCTTCTTTCTGGAAAACGCAAACGCGCGCTTCAACAGCCGCAAGCATTATACAATTAGATCCTCAGGCATAAACTTCTCCAAGATAATTACCCATCAACATCTTTTAGAATATAAAAACACCTTGAATAATGACAACAGTCCCATTTTCGTCTTCTTAAAGTTAATGTCTTTACTGTAAATGTATTACGTCATACTATGATGTCATCTCGTATTGTATGGCTCGAAGTCCTTATTCTGGCATAAAACCATGCAATGAAACGAGGTGCAGTGACATGATACTGACCATTATGTCCTCTTAAATGATATGAACAATATGGTGCGTTAAACCAAAATGAATATTTTAATTGTTTCATGTTCTTAGTTAAATTACATCCAATTATTGTTTTCAACCCTCGATAGATCATTAAGTTACGCCCTTGGTGTATGTTTCATAATCATAATCCTGTTTTCATTAAAAAATAACTTTTACAGCTATATTCTCTTGAAATCTATTTTAAACTAAATTAGACGTAATTACTCCCGAAGACCAGAAACAAAACAGAAAAAAATAGTTTAACGAAGAGTATGCAGACAAAGAAATCATAAGTGCTTAACATGCCAATATATCCTTGATGTTTTAGTAAGATATTTAAAGTGTGACAAGAATGTCGGGCTTACATCAGTACTTGACCTGTACTTAATCTTACCTACATAAACTTTACATAATTTACATAATAATATCATACATGGATCAGCTTTACATAATTCACATAGAAAGATCTTACCTGGGTGAGATTTGCATAGTAAAGTCTTAACCGGATAAGTTTTATATAATTTACATAATCAGATAATACATGGATAAGCTTTACCTTATTCATATAATAGATCTTACCTGGATAAGATTTACATAATTTACATAATAAGATCTGGATTCTTCACCACACCGTTACAACAGATTTTCAATATATATATATAAGATTTATATCGATCAGTATTAAGTTGGGTTTATATTATATAACATTCCCTTTTTTATCACCATGGTAACTTCTATGATTTATATTTTACAGGTCTAAGGAGGATATTCAATCTTCCTGGAGGGAAATGTTTCTTTCAGTATAAAATCTACAAAAGCGGAGAGACATTCCGACCAGGAAATTGTACAAGCTGTCTTTGTGTGGTAAGTAATGATATGTATTCTTTGAAATTAGTTTATTTCATAATACATTCGGGGATATTTCTTTGTTTGACGGGCAGAAAATGCTACGTTATTGTGTTTTTTTAATTTATCCCTGAAGAAGGATTTCAGTGTCGATTAGTTATGATATTAGCATGCAAATGTACTGAAATTACAAATGCACGTACCATTAACAAACGTTGGTTATATGCGGACCGAATTAAGAATTTCATATACTATGTATTTTAATATTTTGGGTTAATTTTGGACGTTGAATGCATTATTAATGAATATTAAGTGGTTTTCTCCCATTTCCACTTTATTTTTTTCTTATAATCTGATATAATCAACGAAGGAATGCCACTTTAAAAAACATACTATAATTCTGAAAAGTAAAGAAAAAAGTAAGAAGTGGAAAGCAAAATGAAGCGTAAAACTTCATAAAAGGAAATATAGAAATTTTGAAGAAAAACATATTTTCATATATGAATGTATTTATGAAGATAGAAATAGGTGATTTATAAAGACACAATAAAAAATGTGTTGTTTGTGTACTGTAAAATCATTCATTTTCGTGGTAAAGTTATTTTCCTTGATTTCTTTGGTACTATTAATTATTGAATTCATATGTCTTGGACTCTTGAAATTAAAAAAGTAAATTGATGGAGCTATCTTTACTCACGAAATCAAACATCCACGAAATAAAGGTTTGTGACAGAACCAAGAAAATCTAGCCCACGAAAATAATGATTTTGCAGAAACTGATCTCTTATGAATGTTGGTGTAGATCCAACATTTTAAGAGGATAAGGCATCAAGGAAGACAAACACATCAGGGGTGTTTAAGTTAAAGGGATATGTTTTACATAACCTCTCTACACCAAATAAACTCGTATGCACTGTTGTGATACTTCATAACAGGGCGTTTGATATCGTATGAGGTGATATGAGACATATTTAACAATTATTAATTATTTCAAAAGTTCAAAAGATGTTTTACATATTATTTAATCAAATTTGTTACATAATTTTACACTCACTGTAGATCCATCATTTTATGAAATTCTTTCGATGGAAAGCATTTATATTTTACTTTGATATTTTGATTGATCTCAGTTCAACGGCGTTAACTTGTCTATATACATTGATGGATTAAAACCTGCTTTGACTGTTCGGTATATCTCCTGAATTTTTCAGCGACACTTGGTAACAATTATATATTAAAAATTCCATAATTCTCTTTTCGTTCAGTGCATAAAGAGACAAGGTAATGTGAAGAAAAAACGTCAAAGATTTGAGTTATTTACATTAATAAAGGATGTTGATGTTTTTAATGTACTCTGTTCATATCTCTTACTTTTGTATAATCTTCAAAACTTTTGAAAATGGAAGCTACATTGAGTCTTGCAAAAAATGACAACATCAATTATTATTTAGGGGATAAGTTCGGTTAAAAAAAGCATGCCTTAGGTGTATTTTATTAATGAAATACTTTATGAAATTATTGTTGTTTCTTATTCATCATGTCACATCCGTTTCAGGATGGAACATTTATTTGTGATCGGGAAACATGCCCGCCCCTTCCTTGCCCTCTTGAGAAAACTGTGCAGCGAGAAAACTCGTGTTGTCGTGTTTGTCCCGAAAAACAGACATGCGACTACAAGAATAAAACATATATGGTGAGATTTTTTATTTATTTATGTAACCAGGTCGATTTAATACACGACCTCTTTTCTAATTGATATTGATGAACAGTCTTGGCTGTTTACTATTCAATCTAGATACCAGACTCCATGCCTACAGTTGTATCATATAAGTTGTTGCAACAGGATGTTGAAAAACAATATTTGTCTTCATCATAATAAGTGTTTACGGGGCAAATGCACTGTTTATACAGGAGTCAGCAATTTCTTTAAACCCGATTATTACTCACGCGTAAACATTCCTGATATTAACATTTCTTTCCATCTATTTAGCTTTAGATTTAAGCCTTCTCCAGCTTGCGTAGATGTTGAATGTCTATTCGGATTTTAACAGGCGTTACTGAGTTCTGCTATGAAAAAAAGTACTTAAATTAATGTTAAGACTATGTCAGATAGAATTTCATCACCTACCGGAAATTTCTTAAACCTCAAGGAAGGTCCAACCTTACAATCGAATTACATAATGATTGGTATATAACGTACTATGATGAAGCCACATGTGGCGGGGAAAACATTTAACTTGGTCCAACGTTTATAAGTTCATTTAGGGTTTTTCAAATTCTTTTTTTTTTTTTTTTTGTCTGTTCTGTACCCAAATGTGTCCTATCTTACGGGTTTGTATTCTTGTTTTCAAAACTTTAAAAAAGATGATAGATGTAAAAATCTAAACATTGATGGTAAAATAAAAAATGATTACCTCGAAGTCTATTGAAACTATACAATCAGAAATTGGCTTTTCCATAATGTGTAAATTTGTCTTAAAAAAACCCATAGAATTCAATTGATTTCATTTACAATTGAAATACAGGTATCAATTTATTCCGTAATTAAGTTTTTTCAGTTTATTTTATTAAGATGTTCATCTTACATTTTATACATATTATGCCATCATTTGTATCATTTTGTTGACTTAAAATTGGTAATTACAATTACAGCATGAACAAAAATGGCGACCAAATGTTTGTACTACCTGTTCGTGTGATGACGGCTCAACCAGGTGTCACGTGCAAAATTGTCGAAATACTGTTTGGTGTCCTTCAGTAAGTAGCATAAAAATCATGGTGGTCCTACAGAAATGTCCCATACAAATACAATTTCATGACGAATAGAGCCTTATTTTACGGTACAATAACAAAGTCTATGGTTCTTTTCTAAGATATCAATTGACTTCAAATAATCAGTACTGGACAATTTTAAAGAAAAAGTACATCCTAATTAAGGAGAAATGAGTTTTTTTAATATACCATTATGTTGTTACTTTGTACCAGTCCTAAACTTCCATTAGTTCTTTAAACACATATATATGTCATTAGTAGGAAAAACGATTTTTGAATGATAATATATAATAACCATCCTTATAAATAATATTACGGTCGTCACTGCAATATGATGCACCATCTACAATGCGTTTGGCAGATCTATGTGACAAACTAGCATTTATATATGTCTTCATTATGATAAAGCTTCTTGCTAGCGAGGAAAGTCGTGCTAGTTAACAGATAAAAAGCAAATATATATATAACGATAATTACTCTCGTAACGCCGAGACATTGTAATGACCAGCGAAATTAGAACGGCACGTCATTATCGTGATATGGCTAGGCTTTACTGCTGTCGAATACTTTAAACTTGCAATTCAGCATAATAAATTGATAAATGTTACATTTCTAAAACATAAATTTGGTATTTTGATTACAAGATAGGTTGGAGAGTGCGACTAGACTGATCTAGTATAGGTTTTGAACACTTTATATATGTTTAAACCGAATCTGAACGTGGCAATAGTTGTTAACATTAAAACTTCATTGGCAGTGTTTGCGTGCTGTTTAAAGGAGTTATATCACTGCAGAATCTTGTGTATGTGTATGTCATTTCTCGTGTCAAAATATGAATACTATATTCTAGAGTCGTGCGTATCATATTCGGTTTTATCATCACATAATTAAATTTATCTTCGTTTCCAATTGATCAGCTGCTTTTTTATTCAAGCGTATAGTTATCCTGCAACAAGTTATACCACCGAAAATTTGTAGCCTCTCGAAGTAAATTTTAAGTATAAAAATATATTGGACACCTTCTGATATGTAACATATAGTGAAACATAATTAAAATGCGTGAACCGGAAGTGCTCATTCGGGTTCATGCCATTGTTCTTGACGTTCCTAGTGAGTCGGGCTACCAGACGTTTTTAATAATTGCCGGACGACATATCGCATATTTATATTCACTAATTACACCGATCATTCCCTTAGTTTAGGGTAGGGCAGAGACATTTATAAACCCTCGGAGGAGATTCTCCAATGTGTATTGCCTTGGATTAGGCTGTCAGGAGTCTCTTCCTTGGGTAGAGATTTCTCTGTCGTACACTAACGTTAGTGGAGAATTTCTATTAATCTTTATGAGTTGAAATATATTTTTATGAATGTTCTACCAAAATTGTAGAAACTGGAGACATTTTTTAAGGTTTGTTAAGGGTCAACAATTCTTAGTAATACCTTGCTTGAATCTATTGAAACGTTTGTAAAGGAGTTTTATCCAAAATAATCCCACAATTGATAGAACTTTTGTGATTGGAAAATTCGTAACCAACAATAAGTTTGTAAAGGAGAAGGTTAACTTCATTTAACTAGTTTCACCTTCACTGTCGCCTGCTGTTCATGTCTGTGTTAGCTTCCATTTTGCCTCAGGTTTATGCCTTGATAATAAACTTTATGATCCCCTTGTAAATAAAAACATGATGTATGTCTGGACACATTTTATGATTGTTTTCCGTAATGGAATTCCGTTTTTTCACTCTTTGATGTGATATGTTTTTTCGCGAGTTAGTTATTGACCTTTTATACATGTTTAAGGTAGTAGGGATTTATTTGAATCTATTAAAAACATTAACCTGTCTCAAATCAGGACAACCATGATGAAGTATAGAAGATTGTCTCTGATTTAATATATTTCCCTCCCAATTAAATACCATGGTCTTCATGTCTGTGATTCGAGACGTTTCGCAACACGATATTTTTCTAAGTTATCAACCATTCCAGCTACAACGTCAAAGATTTCAAGAGGTTGCATATCATTGCAGAGATTTTTATCAAAAAGGTGCTTCATGATATAAAAAAATCCACATGGTAAAGAGCATTAGTTTTGTAGTTCTTAAATACAGTGGTTTGGAGACTTCTATACTCAGCCTTTGCTACGAAATATGTCAAAGTTAGTCCCCCAAGCTTTATAAAAAATCCCCAAATGAAGATTCCCTATGCATTGCTCTTCAGTTCAAGTGGATACTCATAGCATACGAAATAGATCTTTACCGATTTGAAGGTTTTGGTATGAAAAATAATACTAGTCGTATTGCCGTATTTAAAACTGTCTCGTTGGTGGGGTTCTATGATTCGGGTTCATTTTTCATCGTAATTAGTATGGTGCCAACACAAAGACACGCAATGAAGGCTCCTAATCAGTTTATTATATCTAATTAATGAATTTTGAATTAAGGAAGTATGTTAGGTTATTCACTTGGTTCGCTTTTTTTATTTGTTCGTTTTCTAAACATTTAAGAAACAGTTGCAGGTTATTTATGAAATAATGCCTAGAGTGTTGTATGCCCAGGGAAATTGTTTTAAAACGAAAACGTAGAGACTTGAAGAGGGACATAAGTAGCGCGATACAAGAGTAAATTCTTTGTAAAAATGCTTTACATAAATAGTCTGCTGATAAAGCGCAGAAAATCTAACTCTGAGTTGCACATAGATTTTGATTTTTCAAAATTCATAACCATTAAATAGGGTAACGAAAATCATGCGATTTCTGTTTCGTAACAGGCCCAAAGACAAAGTTAGGACAGATACAATGCACTCGATGCTTTATCGTGTTAAACATATAAGTGTTCAAATCCGGTTGATGCGGCGTGTTTCGCTTTCCTCCCATTTTAGTCATATCAACGGTATTATTTTTCCTATTTTCACTTTTTATATCAAATTTATGTTATTTCAACTTCAGGGTTACCGACTACAGTACATAAATGGTGAATGTTGCCCGAGATGTACCGAAGGTATGTATGCGACTGGTATTCTCATTCTTCTTTCGGAGCTGATTCTGCAGTATTGATCTTAAAAAGTAATTAAGTATAATTTGAAGCAGAATAATCAAACAGTATATGACTGCATTCAACGTTTCATTGCCGAATTCTTGTTACAAATATAAGCATTTCAACAATTACCTACCTAACAATGTCTGACTCAGAAGAATGTTTGTGTGGGTAAAGACTAAAGAGGGGGATTCTAAGATTTGTAAGATACTCTCTAGCTATGTTGAAAATAATCTTCAAGTCAAATAGCTTACCATCGATAAATAGGAAAGCACTAGAGCGCGGCCATTACTCTTTATTACCAAAACATCCGAGTACTCTCATTACCAGTTGTTATGTGACAAGAGTGGGTTTCAGCTACATTAAATTTTCTCTGGCAGTTTAAGAACATTCCATACTGCATTGAAGAGCGTAAAGATTTGCTTTAGAACCTGTTAGAAGACCATGCTAGCTCGATAGGCATATTTATTAACATAAACGAACCACATTCTGCACCCACACGACTTCGCGCTAAAGCTTTAGTTGAAAGGTTGGCCTGTTTTCTATCGCTATTTGTAATTGGCACTGGACACGATCATAAATGAAACTAATTGGACCAAGCAATTTTTGAAAACATAAAAAGTGATAATGGCATAGATAAGTTTAAGGCGAATTTAACAAAGATTTCTCTTCTGTTTTCAGTTGTTGGGTGAGAATTTAGAGACAGATTGCATATATACTTTACATATATGAGAAGAAAAATTAAAAATACCAACATAAACTTAACCCAAAATAAAAGTCAATAAAACAATAAAGTCAATGAACAAAAGAAATATTTACGCTGAAACTCCTGGAAAGTACAGGGAAAAGAAGGCCATGTGTTCCGGAAACAGTATTGTCCTTCGTGCTGTGGATTATGAAAACACCATTGTTTTTTTAAAAATCATTCCATGTATACTATTTTAACACGATTTTGAAAAATAGATACTGTTTGCTTTTCATCGTGATAATTTAAGTATTATTTACTTTGATTTGATAAATTGTGAGTGGAAATTTATTAAGTTTAGTCATAAGGGGTGCTACATGCGGTGTCACGACATGGGTTTACCACATTATGCCCTGGGTAGCCATAGAGTCACCGCAAAAATCTGACAGTAATGGGAGTGTCAGGTAGTAATGATATATTAGTGACAGGATTTAAGCGTGGGCATTTTTTCTATCAGAAAGTATCCAGATCTTCGATAAAAACGTTGTATATTGCAGATAAAACTACCAAATTTGTATTTACATAAATTTTAATATAGTGTCAGACATGGTCAACTATGATGTGTTTCTATCTTTGCAGCCAAAGGCGTGTGTACTGTGTTTGGGGATCCTCATTACAGAACATTTGATGGAAGGATTTATAATTTTCAAGGACCGTGCAAATACCTTCTGGCGGAAGACATAGTAACTAAGTCGTTTTCCATACGCGTGCGAAATGACGCACGTACTTCACCGTGGTTCACTTGGACGAGAATGGTCACACTGTTTCTTGGAAATGTAAAAATTGGACTTCATCAAAAAATGAATGTGAAAGTAAACAGAAGACGTGTTAAACTTCCGTATACAAATCACGCTGAATTCTCGGTTGTACGAGATGGTCAATCGGTCAAGGTGATGACCGCCATTGGCCTAAAGGTGATTTGGGATGGTGATAGTTTCATCGAAGTGACGATTCCCAGTCGTTACAAGGAGAAAATGAGAGGACTTTGTGGGAACTATAATGGTATAAGTACTGACGATTTGAAAGGCAAAGATGGCCAGGTGTACCTTGATGGAGAAAACTTTGGTAACACATGGCGAGTTGGAAGCAAAGCCGCCTGCACAATCCAAGAAAATGTTCAAAAAACGGAACCGCCTTGTAAATCGGACAGTTCTAAGAGAAAACGTGCCAAAAGGGAATGTAGCCATCTTTTAGCGAGTGTGTTTTCCAGATGTAGGCGCTTGGTAGATGTAAGGCAGTATTACAGGTGGGTTAAAACAAGGTTAATAGAATGCTTCGAAAATAGTCAAAGTCATCCAGATGCTTGATGTTACAATGTTTTTGCCTTGTAAATTATAGAGTTTGAAGTTTATGTGATGATAAATTATGGAGATTAACTTGAAGGATGGACAGACTTAGGCAGCATAAAAAAGAGATGTTTATTTACAATATGCACTTTATTAACCCTTGTCGATTCATATTTCAGAATCAGCATGAGTTATTGGTGAATGAGCTCTCTTTGTGAGATATATATAGCGAGATGTAGAACACAGTTAATAGACTAATGAGTAAAACTTTCGCTCGCCTGTCCTATTATTCTTATCACTGGCCACCAAAATATTTCTTCAATGAAGTAATGTAAACAACTAGTTTATAAATTATTCAATTCATTTTTTTCTCTTTTGTATCTTTTGTAAGAAACAGTGAAATTATATTAATTAGATAGAGTTAAGATGTCAATGAACCCAATATTGAGATTTTAGACATCTCGGGGGAATCTAGCTTATGATATATCATCACTGACAAGTCCTAGAAGGACGAAATAGCTGTATGATGTAGCATCACTGACAAGTCCTAGAAGGACGAAATAGCTGTATGATATAGCATCACTGACAAGTCCTAGAAGGACGAAACAACGTATCATGTAGCATCACTGACGAGTCTTAGAAGGACGAAACAGCTGTATGATGTAGCATTACTGACGAGTCCTAGAAAGACGAAACAGCTGTATGATGTAGCATCACTGACGAGTCCTAGAAGGACGAAACAGCTGTATGATGTAGCATCACTGACGAGTCCTAGAAGGACGAAACAGCTGTATGATGTAGCATTACTGACGAGTCCTAGAAGGACGAAACAGCTGTATGATGTAGCATTACTGACGAGTCCTAGAAAGACGAAACAATGTACAATGAAACAATTAGATATTCCCGTTACAAATTTAGAATTACATACAGTAGCTTTCTTTGACTCGTCAGTAATGCCGGGAGCCTGAAGTGCTAAAAACTACTAGGCAATAGGGGAAATAAAAAATTTATCAAAAAAATGTCAAAATCTAGATAAACTAGATGTTAAATTCTGAATTTGAAATAGTGATGTGTAAGACCATCAGGGGATTAGTTGAACTTTGACCTATAGTCTCATAGATATATATTGTTGCGAGGACGAATTCTACCAGCTTTTCAATATACTGTTGTGTTAAGAATTAATATGTGGTTTTTATGTCTAACAAAACTCTCTCTCTAGCATGTTGTCCTTGAGAGATATATTTTTGTTAATCAGGAATTAGAAATCTCTAGTGAGGGCGGAATATACCCGACGTCCTTTCGTCTATTACATTCCGTTCAGTAATTTGTCATGTAGATTTAAACTATCATATAAGTTTACACAAGCAAGTAGTTCTAATGCATGTACAGGTGTGTGTGTAAAGATGTTTGTTTGTATCGTACTGTAACAAAAAAAAAATGGAAAGAATATATATATATAAACAGCAAAGAGCCTCCTTTTGATACGCAGAGGAAATATATTCCTTACTATTCATGAAAGGAGGTTTGAGGTTCCTTAATGCTATACGTGTCTATAGGTGTATATTGGTTAATATATATATGATGAAATGTTACTAATCAATAATGACAGAAATTTACGCTTCAGGCGAAATATACAAATACGTTTATATCTGTTCAGTGTTTGTAATGTAGCGGTATTGGGGAAATACACCTATGTTAATTAAGCGTGTGAACACAGCACCTTATATCGATAATGGATTATACCTCTATATATTGATGTGGAAATCACCTGTTATCTGTAAGATGTCGTTAACAAAAAGGACGTGAAATGAAATTCCATTAATTCTCCAGCTATGATTGACATAATAATTTTAAGTTCGGTACTATACTATGTGGTACGAACGTGTTGCGTATCTCCCTTTTTGAAAAGTTCTTTATTATATTACTAAAATATCACAATTTGGCAGTATCAAACGTAACTGAATTAGAGTAAACACATGTACGGGTATAAACAAACTTATTGATATTGATATACTATTAAACACGCACACGTGTTGACATCTGTCTTGTCACTTCATGTCTGAATCGTAAGCCACTTTGTTTGCAGTTTTCAAATTCAATCGATCTATTGTTACATGAAAGTTGAAACCTGACGATAATGCTTTGCCGCCATTTTTTTTTTTCGAGTTCTCTCCCTTTACACGAGAATATGAACATCGTCATATGCGATTAGACTGGTAAAACATGTGAGAAAGATTTTGTATAATATCGCTCCAATTTGTACCTTTCAGATCTTGTATAGCTGATATGTGCGAGTGCCCGGATGACAAACAATGTGCATGTGAGGCTGTGAAAGCATACGCCCACAGATGCATCAACGAAGGAATTCAGTTAACGTGGAGCAATCAGCGCTTCTGCCCAGGTAAACTCTCGCTGTTAATGCTGTTTTATTTGGCGAAATGTTTAAAAGATCTTTTGTTAATTATTGTCCTTAACCAAGGCCTAAACTGTACCAAAAATAACACTGTTGTCATATAACTGGTTCAACTGGGATAAGATATCGTTGATTGAAAACGCAAAAAAAAACAGAATGTCATTAATACCTTAAATAATAAGGAAAAATACATAGAAAAAATACTTTCACTATTGCTGGCATATTGCGTTATTGTTCGTCAGTTTGCAAAGGTCTCACTACCTTTTTTAAACTACTAATCAGCGTTATGCGTTTTGAATTGAAATTAAGATATTTACCTTTGTTTAATTGTTTTATTTCCAGAACACTGCCCTGAAGGTGCTATATATAGACAATGCACAAAACGATGTATGCGCTCGTGCGATGAACGAGACCAGAAAGCATTATGTAAAACAAAGTGTTCTCCTGGATGTGTTTGTCAAGGAAACCGTGTACTACACAACAACAGGTGTATTAAACCAAGGCAATGTCCAAAGCGGTGATGACGTAATAAATTAGTTATTGATGACGTCAAATTTTGAAAGTTTGATAACAGCACGAGTTGGAGAATCAGTCTGGTCCGTCCATTTCAAGGCGTTGCAATAGATCTTCCAAGATATTTGCAAAATTCGCCGGAAGTGACGCAATGTGCTGCACATGTAATGCTCTGTTCAGACGATTAATATCGGGATGGTCTAAATGTAGTTATTTGTTTATGTTTAATTCAAATCTTAACGAGAAAGTCAGTCGTGCTGATCTATCAGATCGAATGGGAGATTTGTATGACAGAGACTCCATGAGATGTTTTGTAAGTCTTGTTGTCCTTCTGTATTTTGCTGTTTCAAAGTAGCTTGGATCACCTACTCTAATGACGGTCCATTGAAGTTGTCCTTTACTTCTGATACACCAACTATGCTTTGATTCAGTTATTTGTCGCAAGTCAGTGACAACGCATCACAGAACCTACATAACACAGTATGAAAGATTTGTCAGTTCAAGCTGTGAAACGACATGACAAAATACTCATTTAATGTTCATGTTTTTTTTTTCTTTTCCTCTTTTTGTAGACGTGTTACTTATCATAAGTTGTCACCTGATTTTTTTACCGTCTAAAATTATGCAGGACATTATATTATTGCACTTCATTAACTGAACCTACAACCCTAATTCACCTCTTTGTTTTAAAGATTTGAAGCCCATTTCGACTGAAATAATTTCATATTTATTCTCATAATGTTAATTCATTATAACAGTTGACTGAATTCACTTATTCTATCTCTAAATGGATTTGAAACCCGGTTACTAATGTGTGCAATACTTCGTTATTTAATGGAAATAACATTTAAATTATTACCTTAGTCACTATTTTATTTTCTTAAAACGTTACATTAATTCTGAAAGTGTGAAAAATTTATTAAAGAACTATTTCATATATTTTCAGCGGGTATATCCTGAAATTGTCAAATTACTATCTGCCTGCTAATCTTAGTATCATATCCTGTACAACATAATCGTAACGACATTCAAACGAATAAAATTCCTATTTAAATTTTCGTTCACCGACGCAAATAGAACTTGAACTGTAAAAAAGACTACATCTCTCTCTAAATTATATCGGCCCTATCTAATTACGTAAAAATACTGTCATTTCTCACCAAATAACAGCGGTCCTATTTAATTACGTAAATATACTGTCATTTCTCACCAAATTACATCGGTCCTATCAAGATACGTAAAGATACTGTCATTTGTCACTCAATTACCACAGTCCTATATAATTACGTAAGAATCCTTTAAAATCATTGATTTTTTTTTTTTTTTTTTTTTGTAAGTTTCTATTTCTTTCGTTTCGTACGAAATATTTATTAATCATTATCTCGTATATCTACGAATCGATTAATTGTTCAGAATATGATATGGAAACATAATTTATAACTTTCGTGAGAAATCTGTGTCCACGACTTTAAAAACCCTATAAATTTGTGACTCACGAAAATACGTAATTTTGCAGTAAAAAACATACTATTTCCATCGAGATACCAAAGTCTTTCATTTCACTTGTTTTATTTTTGCATTATTTTTTCTTTTTTCGTTATCAGTTCCCCGAAAAAATGACTTAAAATTCCCATTCAACGCACTAGATACAGAGGTAACGAGGCTGACAGTCTCCCATTAGATAGTGGAAGGTGTTGGTTCATGTCATAACCGTGAAAAAGGAGATGAATAATGTTTTGTTGCTTATTTGTTTTACATGGAAACGAAACGAAATGTAAATAATGTATGAATTGTGGTCCAAATGAAATAAGGGGAGGTTACTCTAATTTTGTATAATATGTGTACTAATTGGTCGTTTTCATTAACTTATTGCTGCTAGCTGTGTTGTAAATAGGGTTATTTATTAAACATATATGTACTTGTTGTAGGATGGCCAGTGTATGCTAATGAATGAAATTGATATGAATGTTGGAAATTATTTTGAAACAGAAATATCGAAAGCAGATGAAACATTGTATGAAAGGGAGAAAATTAGAACTATTCTTGTATATAAAAAACGTTACTGATTAACATTTTGATATCTAAGGAACACAGGTGTTGTGATTTTAAAATGCCAAAAAATATTTTGTTGAAATCATCTCAACTTTTGTTAGAAAAAGTTAAGATAAATTCAACATTCAATGAAGAAATGAAGATAGATCACTATTAAATGAAATTGTAATTTTTCTGTAAAACGGTTCCTCTATTTGATTAATGGTATGCAAGAGTTGGATGCTTAATGTGGATTAAGTTTAATGTTTTCGTAATTTTTTAAAGTAACAATGTATTACTTTATCGTACAAGTACTCTATGATATACGTGTAAGTGACAGGACGAATAAATAATTTTAAAATGCTATAATCTATGTTTTTAAATGCAGATTTTTTTTTCATATTCAGTTGAGTTTTCGTGTTCAACTTGACAAAAAAAATAGGAAAACACTTGGATTGAAGAAAACCAACCACCATGTAACTGGATGGTTTTAGAAAGATATGTGTATGTTTAACAAGAGACTGGTTTACTTGGAAATAAATGTGTTTAAGATATAAGTGGAACATTTCTGATGAAATGATCTGATGACGTTTGAAGGTTCGTCATGATGACGTCACATATGACGTCATTTTAGCAGGGTTTACTCTTCACATTGCTGGAAATATATCAGGGGTCGACTACAGGAGGGTGACTGATTGTTCTATATGTAGTGTATGGGTGAGGAATTTTATTATACTTTATTATTTGAAACATATTTTTTAACTACAAACTGTCTCTTACATGGTAATCTATTTAAACTGCAAACAATGTATCGGTACTCTACATTGTTTATAATAAAAAAAATGGAAATCTGAAAGATTAAAACATTCCAAAATATGTTTTGGGTTGTTGTTTTTGTTCATAAACTGTTGAAAGTGTTCCTGCCCGATGAGCTGTATCAGAAGAAACACAAGTTAACAACACCCTTTAATACAAATTTAGAATTAGAGAAGAGCGAAGCAATGAATAACACTGCATCATACACCTGTTTCGGCCTTCTAGGACACGTCAGCGAGGATATTGCCCTCTATCTCGGTTAATGCTATACGTTGTACAACTTATCAAAATATTGTCACCATTTTAATTTTATTATGACTGGATCATCAATAATTTCACGACTTACACAATGATTTTCTCAACAACTCATATCAGACATGTTTCTGTATCATTTTTTTACCTTAACTAAATTCTTTTGACGTTTGACCGGAAGTAATATATAATTCAATATGTAATGGATTCCAACGTAATATCTTGGACGTTTGTGTTGTATTTATAAACTCAAAATGGCGATTTTCATGACATTTGGAATAAAAAGTTTGAGGACTACTTTTTGACTGCGTAGTTGACGGCGTGATAAGGTTGATAGCGTTAACAATTTCAACGTTTTCTGGTTGTTAAGGTATCACTTAGTTAGCCCTTTGTAGATTTCAGCTGAAAAAATCACCACAAATCACTTATTTAAATTTCGTGAATCAAGACCACTCTCCCCGATTTCTAGGAAAAACAGAAAATTCAGCTTGTTTCTTGATCTTCAAAAACTGGCTATGTAGGTAAAAATTGCAATAAAAAAAAAAAAAAAAAAAAAAGTTTGAATACTGAAAGATGGTCAAACAAACGAATACAGTCGTATTGGAACATTTCCATTTTTTATTGCTATGCAGCTCTTTAAAACCAATGAAAGCATTTTCACATAATTTTTTCTGAATATCCATATATCATACCCTTACCTTGTAATAAAAGACAAAAAAAAAAAAAAAAAGATAGGAAAGGTTGCTGTGAAAATGAGAGAATGTCTGTATTTAGAAAAAAATTACGGATAATATGTGGAAATGATTTTTTCAAGTTACACATATTCTGACTACTGTACCGGAAAAATTAGTGCGGATACATTGAATTTTCGATTTAAAAAAATACTTTCCAAAATGTAAACCTTTCAGAAAATCATCACCAATTAATATTTTTTATTTCTTAGAGGAATACACCCTTAAACATTCGATTGTATGCTTTCATAAAATCTAGTAAGAAGACAGTGTAACTATGTGATCTCACGCCTAAATAAGCATAATTTAGTGATGATATACATAAATAAGTGTAATCTCGTGATGATACACATAAATAAGTGTAATCTCGTGGTGATATACATAAATAAGTGTAATCTCGTGATGATATACATAAATAAGTGTAATCTCGTGGTGATATACATAAATAAGTGTAATCTCGTGATGATACACATAAATAAGTGTAATCTCGTGGTGATATACATAAATAAGTGTAATCTCGTGATGATATACATAAATAAGTGTAATCTCGTGATGATACACATAAATAAGTGTAATCTCGTGATGATACACATAAATAAGTGTAATCTCGTGATGATATACATAAATAAGTGTAATCTCGTGGTGATATACATAAATAGGTGTAATCTCGTGGTGATATACATAAATAGGTGTAATCTCGTTTTGATATACATGAATAAGTGTAATCTCGTGAGGATATACATAAATAAGTGTAATCTCGTGGTGATATACATAAATAAATGTAATCTAGCGATGATATACATAAATAAGTGTAATATAGTGATGATATACATAAATAAGTGTTATCTAGTGATGATATATATAAATAAGTGTAATGTAGTGATGATATACATAAATATGTGTAATCTAGTGATGATATACATAGATAAGTGTTATCTCGTGATGATATACATAAATAAGTGTAATCTAGTGATGATATATATAAATCAGTGTAATGTAGTGATGATATACATAAATATGTGTAATCTAGTGATGATATACATAGATAAGTGTTATCTCGTGATGATATACATAAATAAGTGTTATCTAGTGATGATATACATAAATAAGTGTTATCTCGTGATGATATACATAAATAAGTGTAATGTAGTGATGATATACATAAATAAGTGTTATCT